ACGCACACACACACGCACACACACACACACGCTCCTACCCAACATTTGAGAGGGGAAGGTGGAGCGGTGTAGTCAGGATTTGAGGAGAGGTTACTCCTGAGGGGCATGCCCTTATCCAATCAGCTCATCAGGGGTAAAATAGGGTTAAACGAGGCTAATGATCCCACAGCCGTAACAGCGGAAAGGAGCACTCTAAATATAGGCATTCTAGGCTGGAATGAATGGAAGGGGTTGGGGGGCAGCCAGGGCTAGACGTGTGTTTCTGCCAGACAAGTGGCGCAGCAGCAGTAATCCATGTGTTTGAGTTATGGGCCTAGGCAAAATATGACAAGGCAGTTTCACTTTGCCTGTTTCTCAGTTTCAGTTCCTCTCTATTTAGGATCTTTAGGCAGCTGTACACGTGTGTTATGGAATTCCTGGCACTGGATTTGATCACTTGATATTTGACATCCTCATTCTGAAGGCATGGCCCTTCTTTGCTTCTGTTGTTCAAAGACTAATTGCTGTCAAGTCGATATACATTACTTAATATTTTCTTGTTTTTTTTGTTGTATGTCAATTCATATTCAATATAGTCATTATAGTTATTTACACCACATTACACATCTGAGAAAAAGCAGAGGTTTTGTGCTGCAGATCCACTCTTAAAAGAGAATGTCAGTGCCTTGCGGAGCTGTAGCCCATCTGTCCACTTTATATCAGGGTACCTGCTGTAATTTAAGTTGTGATTACACTGCTGAACATTTTGGAGATTGTTGATTATTTGATTCATTTAATGACAAATTGTATACCATAAATCTTTGGTATTAAACTTGATTGTAAATGAATTGGTCAACACCAAACTAAAGGCAAAATCCAATTTGGTCTTAAATTACTTCTTTAATTTGGTCGTAAAAATGTTAATTTCCAGGCCCAGGTCCCTCTACGGGAGCAATATCACTTGTGGCAGACAATGTGTTTACTATTGCCTAGTGTCCTGAGTGTGTTTGTGTGTGTCTTTGTACTATTACACATAGTGACATTCAAAGGTTAAGTATTATTTATGCCCTGATCCCAACAGTGAGCCTAAGGTTGGTGTGTTTCCAGCAGGGAATGACTGATGACATGAGAGTTAGAGAGGTAAACAAACAAGCCTCTTCCTGTCTCTCTCACTTTGTGGGGGTTTATGAACTTCTCTGCTGTCTGCTATATTGCCAAGGTGGGCGGGGGGGTGGCTACTTGTGCAAACATGTATGAAGGGCTTCCTCGGTCAGGTAAATGAACACATCAGGAGTGTGTTCAAAGTCTGAAGCACACCAAAGTAGAGCTGCATATCATATGACACCTCTTGTTCACTGTGGGATTCTGTTCTATATTCCGTTAATGTCCCACCTGATGAGTCTGGCTGCGGCTTACTATGAAATTCAAATTGAATACCAGATTTTAGAAGTCGTGGCTATGGATCATAGATTTATTTTTTTATAGCCATTATTCTCTTTTTTGCTCACTGAGACACTTATAAATCTGATCAAGAGAGTAAGTCTGAAACACATGCAAGTTTGCACTCAGGATATATACAGTAAGAATTCAGTGGACAAAATGCTCTGAAAATGATGGAGTACATATAATGATCCCAAGAGGATGAACCATTTTGATTGTAATGACCTTGCAGGATTTCCTGTGTTTGGTCCCTTTGCATCCTAGCCTCCTGAAGCTCTAAGAATAGCTTCATTGTTGCTGTTTTGCAATAGGCTACTTTTGTATCATGGGGTGCGAGGAATAGAGCATCCACTAGGCACTGCTAGCATGGCTTTAGACTTTTAAACAATTTTTTTTTTTTATAATCTGGCTTTCTTTATCTTTTCAAAATGTAATTAATGGTATGTCAGTAGAATATAAAGGGGTAGACAAAAGAGACATCTGATACAAAAAGAGCTCCATTAGACAGCACTGCGTTAAATCAGTCAGCACTAGGAAGCTTAACAAACATGGATTTATTTATACAGAAATGTCCGGGTGTACAGTACTCGAGATGCAAAACATCAGCCGGTGGTAGCAGGAGGTTACTGTTGGCCATCAAAGCCAGATTTGATCTCTGCCTGCCTCTTGGCAATGCTTCAGCCCTTGGCTAATGTTCTCTGATGACATTATTTGGCCTCTGAAACTGTGACTGTTTCTGGCTGCTTTGAATGGGAACTATTGTGGCATCTAGTCTTTTGGCCTGATCAGCTGCATTCTGACTCAACCTCTGGCTCTTTCTCACTTTGTTTGTCTTCTCTTGCTTTTAACTGAACTGTCCGTTCCTCTTGCATCACACGCCTCTCTATGTTGCTCAGTAGTTCTAGTATGTGGGATGTATAGCAGGTGGTTATCCAAAAACCACTGGTTAGTTTGGAGGCCGTTGAGGCATTCTTGAAGTTGTTGTCATTTCTTACGAAAAAGTTCTTTTATACATGGAGGTGGAGGTTTGTGTGGGGTCTGGGGGGAGTGAAGGGCTGTTTGGGATTCCAGGGAAACTAGCAGCAAAACATCATGTGGCTGTTTTTCCCAGTGAACTTGTGCACACATGCACAAACACCGACTGCAAACTCTCCCTTTTATTGGCAGTGTTGTGCATGCACACACAAATAAATGCAGGAATTCTGTGTTCAGAATCTGAAGTCACTTGTGAGTTGCATTACATCTACTGACAGCTGATTTTTGTCAACATATTATCCCAAATTGGATGGCATCACATCAGAGGCTCTCTCTTTGTCTCTCCTTCTTTCTCGATCTCTCTCTCTCTCTAAACTGGGACTCGCCTCTGGGCTTTTGTAAGTAAAGAGCACAGTCTGTCTGGCATTCATGGAGCTCTCATCCTTAAAGAAAAACACTACTGTCATTTAGACTATCCCATTTACTACTGTCTCTGTTTCATGTCTTCCAATTGTTATGCATTGGGGCTTTGACATAAAGGCAGACATAAGGCTACTTAAAGTTTCTGTATGCTTATAGGAAGGATTTCCTGATGGAGACGTTCATTTTATCAAATGACTGTCAGGTCATCAACAGAAAGCAGAGTGTAATGTAATGTACATACTGATATGAAACCACTCCAGCCCGCATTGTTATTTGGCAGGTATGAATGGTAGTCTGTGGCTTTCTTTTGAATGGAGAAGAAAAACCCTAATACCTGCAGTTATTTTGATTGATATAGCTGATATACAAATTGTAGCACTGATTCAGAACTGTCATACTATAAGTCATGACCCTGGATGGTTATCTGAAATCAGAATTTTTTTTTAAAGCTACATTTGTGCATTTACCAGCATATGACCATCCTGAACTAGGACTAATATAATCACATCATCACAAATTCAGGTAGTCTGGCCAAAAAGAGATCTCAGAAGACCTATGATTGAAAGTTGCTGATTGTATGTAGCTGGAAAGGGTTAGAGTCTTCTCAAAGACTTTACATATTCATCAGTCCACAGTTAGACATAGTGTCTATAAATGGAGATGATCTGGTACTGTGGCCACTCTACACAGCGGTGGGTGCCCAGCCACGATCACTCCAAAGGCAGAATGCTCAGTGATGTAAAACAGAACCCTAGAGTAACAGCTAAAGACTTGACAGATTTGCTGGAGTTGGTTAAC